AAAAATTATAACTAGAGCACTACCTTTAAAATTTTTATCATATTTTATTATTTTTCTTTAAAATTTTTAATCAAATAAAAATATTATTTTCTCCTGTTATTCACTTTTATTTATCCAAACAACTCCAACGCTAATCCTTTCATTCCCTTCTTTTCTCCATCATTTCTTGGCAAAAATCAACATTTAGTCTTTCACCTTACAAAATTGATAAAATTTAGCCTCTTACCTTATAATATGACACTTTTAACCCTTTACCTTACAAAGTTCGTAAGTTTTATTCCTCACCTTACAAAGTTGGTAAGTTTTAACCTTTCACTTTATATTATGATATTTTTAACCCATTACCTATATGAATTGAAGAAAATAACCCTCATTTAACATCAAGTTATAACGTTCTATTAGTTCTGTTAACTAATTGTTAACATCTATTAGTATTCCGTTATAAAAAACATGAAATTTAAATTCAATTTTATTTGTTAATTTCATTAACGAAATGTTAAATGATACTAACAGTTAGTTAACAGAACTAACAATCAATTAATAGAATTGACAGTTAATTAACAGAACTGATAGTTAGTTAACAAAACTAACAAAACATAATGACTTGATGTTAAGTGAAGGTTATTTTCTTCAATTCGTACTGATAAGGGATTAAAAGTGTTATAGTATAAAATAAAGGGTTAAAACCTATTAACTTTGTAAGGTAAAAGGTTAAAAGTGTAATATTATAAAATTATTAGCTAAAACCTATCAATTTTATAAGGTAAGGAGCTAAATTGGTTTTAACCCCCTTTCGTTTGCCCATTTTTATTTAAACATACCCTTAGTGTTATTTTTTAGGTTTTTTTTTTTTTTTTTGGGTATTACAAAGGGGCAAAGGAAAGGGGAGGGAGAGGGAGAGGAAAAAGGGAAGAGAATGAGAATTAGAAGGGCTTCTTAGGATTTGAACGCGAAACTTAGGGATTCACTTCCCAGTCCTAGGGACTGCCGTTAGTAGCGTTTACATTATTTTTTTATTTAATTCACAAATTTACTATTTGATATTGCAAAAATTTTGAGTTTTCGCGTGCTAACCGTTCCTGAAAGCTTCGTAATTAACATTGCATTTCTTGTAAAGGAAAAAAAAAGGGTGAATATCATGGGTGGTCACCCAACTTTATTAAAATCAACATTTTGGTCACTCAGCTTCTAACCCTAACAAAATGGTCACCTAACTTCTTAAGTTGTCCAAGCGTTAGTCACTCAGGATTAATTGGAAAATGTTAAATGGGTTTAAGCCTTAATCAATTTCTTGAGCAATGTCAATAATATTAGAAGTAGGGCCAAAGACAAGAAAATACAAACCAATGAACTTTCCTTAAGCTTTTCTTTTCCTTCTTTTTTTTTTTTTTTCTCATTTTTGATTGTGATGGATTGCTTGTAGTACAAACTCTAGAATTGAAATACTTGTCCAAGAAATTTTGTCTTTCTTTATGAGTATTGGTGTTTGCTTCAAAAGCATTTGGATTATGGATATAAATATTTTCTCAGCTAATTATATGATAATTAATGCCATTTATTTTTTTTTGGTGGTTAATGTCCAAATCCTATCAATTTTTTTAGCTTTTGGTTGCTATTATTTTTTAGCTTTTGGTTTCTATTATTCTTTTGCTATATAATTAGTTTAGCACATGAAAAGAGATTTCATTTTAATTAGTGAAATGCTTAAAATTTTATAGTGCCATAAGAAATTTGATTAAGATCAATGTCAATATAGCGAAATCATTGAGTAGGATTTAAGGTGACTGAAGGTTGTCTTAGTGTTTCATTGAGGGAAAAAAATGTGGTTGGAAAATTAGAGAACAAGGAATAAACTCAAGGCCTTCAAAATGTTTGTTATTGAGGGTAAAAAAAAAATCAGCCAAAATTTAATGGATTTAGATTACAATTTTCATGTTTTTAGTGCCAATGAGTGCCACCACATGTTGGTAATGCTATGTAAGATCTGACATGGCATTTAACCTGGCCACCATAATGGTGATTTAACATTTTTGGTTAATATTAAAGCATTTCCCAATATTAAATATGGGTGATTAACGCTTGGATAACTTAAGAAGTTAGTTAGGTGACTATTTGGTTAGGGTTAGAAGTTGAGTGACCAAAATGTTGATTTTAATAAAGTTGGGTGACCACCCATGAGATTCACCCAAAAAAAAAAAGAGAAACATTTTTTTTGTTATTTATTTATTTATTTATTTTTTAACAGAATTACATCTTTTTCAAAGGAAAGGGGGATTGAGGGACTCGATCTTAAGATCAAGAGTCTAATGAGAACTTCTATTACGGGAGCAACCACTGCTCGACCCAGCAGTTCTCAAGCATTTTGTTTGTTTTTGTCATGATCCAAAGCTCCAAAGCTATAGGCCTAAAGCACAAAGTAATGATACACTCATACACCCCCTGCGCATATGATCTACAATACGTGGAATTTATTGGGTTTGAATTTCTCAATGTCAGATTCATTTTTGACGAAATAAGTAAAATTAATAATTACATGTTGTACCTGATGTACTTCTTTATACAACAGTCAGGCCCTTTTTCTGCCAAATTTTTATGCAACCATTTAAAAAAAAAATTTATGGAACCTATTAAATTTAACTCTTGTTTAATTGAATATAGTAAATCATTTATATACACTAAAATTTAAAACTATGCAAAGAATTATCTTATTCTTAAATTCCTAACTAAAATAAATCTAATACTAATCAATAAGACATCAAGTTTCGTTACCTTATACGCTACCACACATTTTTGCACATATATAGAATTTATTAAAGGATGTTCATTTAATATAATAATTTAAATTTGCACTTGGGCCTAATGACCAATGATTCTATACATCATTAAAAATACATCATCCAACTTAAGAATTAAGATTTGAATCTTTTACTCTTAATGTAATTTGTTCAAAAAATATATATATAATAATTTAAAATTAATGGTTAAAACTTTTATTTAATCAAAAAGTAAAAGATGGCACTTGTATTAATTACCAAGTTGGCAAAGTTGATAATATACTACTCCCACTAACCTATTCAATGGTCTGATGAACATAATCTAATTAACTAATGCCCTATTTTCTAAAAAATTTGATAAATACCCTCAATAGAAGAAAGAACTTGATATATTAAAAAAAAAAAATGGATACATCTAGGTAGGGACTAGGGATGGTCAAAGGAACAGTACCGAAGACTCGGTTAAAGAAAAAGCAAAGGTAAAGCAAGAGAAGTGGGGGAACAGTGAGCGAGAAAAACGGGGAACAGGTGCGCCCCATCGTCGGGGAGTCTGTAAAAATTAAGCAACCCCAATCCCAACCATTACCCAGCAATCAAGGTAAGTGATTTTTGGCATAAAATCCTCCCCTATTCCTATTCCTATTACCATTTCCATTATTATATGAATCAAATCCCCTCGTATGCTTCCCACTTCTAGGCCAGCAACATCTATGTAGCTCTTGTCTCGTGCCATCTGCGCTTTCCTCGAATGCCTGTGCATTATTTTAACTCCTAATTGCCTTTCTTTAATTTTAATACTTGGCAAATTCTAAAAAGATTAGAATTAGATCTTTAGGTAAGTAAATATTATTTTATAAATTAAAATTTAAAATTAATATATAAAAAAAATTAATTTTTTTAAACATAATAAGTTAATGTGAGATATAATCTTAAGATTGGTTAAAAAATGATTAATTTTAAAGTTGCATATACAAATAAATTTAGGTACACTCTAGCAATAAATTATTAAAAAAACCACATAAAAAGGAAAAAAGAGGAACAACTTGAATACTTTTTAGCATCCTTACTTTTCGCTTTTTCCCCCCTTTTTACCATTTACTCAGCTTCACTAGGCACATTATTCTCTTTCTTGTTTGAACGTTAATTAATCAAAATGTAACAAAGGAACATCTTGGATTGACACGTGAGGATAACACGCTTTATTGCTAAGATACGCCTAGGATATTTAACATGTATATATTGAATTTTTCGCACGTACTTTCAATGTTATTGCATTATCAAAAAAAAAAAAAATGGTGGCCTTGTTTATGTTTTTATTTATTTATTATTTATTTTTTTATCTTAATTACATAATAAGAGATTATCATCTTTCATCCCTTATCACACCCCACTCACATGTCATACAACTCGAATTTAAAATTTTTTATTTTCAGTGAAATGATATGACCACTGTTTATATTGATGTAATAATTGTAGAAATAATCTCAAATTGTAGATAATCTTTCTTACTTAATTATCTTTATTAGATATAAACATAATTTAAATCTATCACTAATATTATAAATTATGCTTCAATTTTTAGGCTACAATGCCATTATATAGAGAAACACATATAATTTTATTATTTATTAATAGAATATTTATTTTCTATCAAAAAGATTAATCTAATTATAATTTTACATTTGAGGCCCTGAAGGTATTTGTTATAATGATTTTTTCGATTAATTTGTATATAATTTTCTAGGTTTTCTATTTTTTGATCGGCCATATAATTGCCTAGGTGATTCGAGAAAAAGCAATATGCAGGTGATCACGAGAGATTTGGGGAACATTTTGTGGGCCACTTGGGTGTCAGCACCACTCCATCAACGCCAAGCAAATATATCTGTATTTTCTATTTTGATGCTTCCTCTCTGTTTGTTCTTCCATTG